GGCGGGTGCAACAGCATGGTCGCTTCTGGGGCTGCTTCCGGCTCCTTTCAGCGGGGACCAGGGGCTGATCTGCTTGGTGCCGGGGGCCGGCAGCTTTTATCCTGCCCCGCAGGGGGCCTGGCCCCTTCCCGAACCCTCTGGCCCTGCCGGACGCCATTGTCTATTTTTATGAGGCTGATGGCTCGGAATGACTCACGGCCCAAAATGCAGCAACTGCGTCCCCAGCCTGGATTCCTTCGCTGCAAATAGCGTAGCTGAGCTCTCAGACAGAAGCTCAGGTTACAGGCAAGTCCCCCCCTTCCCGGCAAGTTCCCCCCTTCCCAGCTGGGACCTGGCACAGGAGAAACAGTCCCTGCCTACCAGCATCATCTTGCTGTGGGGGAAAGCAGCAGTTCCCAAGCACCTGCCCCAAGGCTGGTCAGCTGTTCAGCACCATCCCTGCCACAGCAGACTGACAGGCTGGCCCCCCCCCGCTTTCTAGCTGTGGGGTACTGCTAAGAGGATCAAATCAGGGTGTGTTGCTCAGAGTCAGGACTAATGGAGAAACCCCCTTATCCTTCCATTCCAGGGGTGCCAGCTCCTTCCCTTGGGAGGTAGCTACCCCCAGGGCAGGCAAGGCTTGGACCCTCAATCTTGGGCTCTAGAGGCAGATCCCTTAGCCAATGCACCACTAGAGGAGCCTCCCAACCTGCTTACAGTCTGGAGCCCCCTTATCCTTCCTACTTTCCAGTGGTGCCAGCTCCAGCCCTTGAGACGCTGGTGGCCCCAAGCCGGAGGGCCCTTCACTAGAAAGCACCACACCAGTCACACACAGAACTTCTGGTTGCCACTCTGGCCAGCAAGAAGTCTCACAAGCCATCCCCTGTGAAAACACTCCAGTTTTCCTGTGCCCCAACCAGCGCCCCTCCTTACACTGACGAGAGGTTATAAAAACCAATCCCACCAACTCCGAACAGGTTCTCCCGGTCCCAAGGGACCAGCCACACTCCCAGGTCAGAGATCCAGCCCCACAGAGCATGGTTGGACCAATCCTTTAGAATCGGAAAGTTTATTAATGAAAGAAAAGGTTGAGGGGAGAATCGTTAAAGGAATTAAAGTGCAGACAACAATGACAAAGCTCCTGCTGCAGGCTCTTAGCAGAGATGGAATAAACGGCTTGCCTCCTGTGTTAGGATGGGCCGTCAGTCCTCCGGGACCCTTTATCCATAGCCAAGATGCTTCTGAAGTGATGAGCTGGAGTGAAGACAATTGGAGGAATCCCCAGGGCCCTGTTTTATAATCTTGCCCGTGTGGAGGGAATCCGACTGTTCTCGCTGGGGGAAGGTGCCTCCTAAAATGGAGTTTGTCACATGAGCAAGTCACCTGTTCACAGCCTTTTTAGGGGAGCTGCCTTCTACCTGCTTGACCGCAGGTTGACAGCAGAATTCCTCGGGGCTATGTCTACACTCGCGGCTTCTTGCACAAATACAGCCGTTCTTGCGCAAGAATCTGCAGAGCGTCCACACTGCCTGCCTGCTCTTGCAGAAGGAAATTTACAGCGCGGCGTGGTAACAGAGGGCTTCTTGCGCCAGAGCTACGCTCTTTAATGGGGTAAGCCCTCTTGTGCAGGAGCTCTTGTGCAAGAGGGCAGTGCGACGCTCGGCTGGGATTTCTTGCGCAAGAGAGCCCTATGGCTAACATAGCGGTCGAAGCTTTCTTGTGCAAGAGAGCATCCACACGGCCATGGGAGCTCTTGTGCAAAAGCACAGCTCGCACATGGCAGTGTGGACGTTTCCTTGCACAAGACTTCTTGCACAAGAACCCTTGCGCAAGATGTTCTTGTGCAAGGAGCCGCCAGTGTAGACACAGCCCAGCTGTGTATGGTCAGCGCTTAAGGTTCCTGGTCGGTGAAGCGCTGCTGTGCACTGGAGTAGCCAGACTGGGGGACGCCTGTTGAGATCTCCCAGAAACAAACATTTGAAGGACAAGTACCGAGCCAACACTCGTAACTTTACAAACAAAAGGCATCCAGGCCCGGGGGCAGGACGAACAGAACCCACAACGCATCGGCTTTCACCAGACACCTCACTTGCCCCCTTTGCACAACTCTGGGGCACACGCAACAAGGTGCTGCCTGTTCACATCGAAAATCCAATCATGTCCCGCTAGCCCCCTGTAACATACCCCCAGCGGCAGGGAGTGTCCACACGACGGCTCTTCCAGGCCAGGCGGCGGGGTGGCACGCTCAGTGCACCGGTAGGGAAATCAGCATCCTTAGCCCATCCAGGGATGAGTTATCGCGCCCATTTCAGGAGCACCCTGAGTGGGGAGACTTCACGTGCTAGGCCTGGCACTCTCAGCGAGGAATCCCTCAGCTCGAGAGAAGCAAGGCGCAGGGAAGAGAAACTGAGGCATGGAGATGGGGAAGTGATGTGACAAAGGACACCAGCAGAGCCGGGAACAGATGCTGGGGCTCCCATTCCCAGCCTGCGGGCCTGCCCACTCCAGCCCACTGTGTCTGACGATGGGCCTTCAGCCAAGCACAGTCACTCCCTGCTGCTCAACCTGGAGGGGATGAGCTAGAGCCAACGGGGAGAGACCAGGGCTGGACAGCTGGGGCTGGCAGGGCCTGTGCCAAGGAAGGAAGGTCACAGACCTCGGCAAGGGGGACTCCGAGCCGCCAGGAGTTTCTATTTAGAGGCAGAGACGCTGCTGCTAATTATAAGCACTGAGCCAGGAGTGCGACATGGGAGCTGCCTGTTCCGGGGCTGAGTAATGGGAAGGAATAGTCCCATTCAGTCAGAGGGACCTGGCGGGGGCGGCAGGCCCAGAGGGTTCGGGAAGGGGCCAGGCCCCCTTGCGGGACAGGATAAAAGCTGTCGGCCCCCAGCATGAAGCAGATCAGCCCCTGCTCCCCGCTGAAAGGGCTCGGCCCTAAGCCAGGAGCAGCGATGCTCTGCCACCTGCCCCTCCCGCCATGCCCTCACGGCTCCCTGGCTGCTGAGCTGGGCTCCATGCTCATGCTGTGGCCAGCCCCGGGCACCCTCTTGGCGGAGCTGGAGCAGGAGCTGCTGCGGGAGTTGGAGACGACCAGGGAGTTTGCCAGCAGCAGGGGGCGGCTCGTGGCCGGCGGAGGGAGCAGCAGCCTCGCTGGGGAGCCAAGCCAGAGCTCCGGCCAGGCGCCGCCCCAGCCCTTCGCCGTGCGGCAGGACGTCCGGGGCTTTGCGCCCGAGGAGCTGAGGCTGAAGCTGGTGGGCAGGAAGCTGCTGCTGACGGGCAGGAAGGAGACGCAGCGCGAGGACGGCCAAGGCGCCTTCTCCTACAAGTACGAGGTGCTCAGGAGGGAGTGGGACGTGCCCGAGGGCGTGGACACCGACCGCCTGGCCTGCTCCATCTCCGGGGAGGGGCAGCTGCGCATCGAAGCCCCGGGCCTGCCCCCAGCCGCCGCCCCCGAGAGGAACGTGCCCGTCCAGGTCAGCCCTGCAGGGAGCTCGGCGGCCTCGGCTGAGCCGGGCTCAGAGGACGGTGGGCTGAGCTGATTTTTGAAGCAGACAAGAGGCTGCAGAGCCAGCATTGGGCTTGTGTCTACGGGCAGAGGGAAAGCAGCTTGTTAGTTTTTGTACTAAATAAATTCCTCGGGCTAGAAATCAGTCCCGGCTGGCTGAGCATCAGCGACCACAGTTCCTGGGCCACCTCCACTGCTAACGCAGGAAGCTTGGGCCCTGTGGTGGAAGGGGCGAGCAGCAGGAGAAGCTGCCCCCGGGTCCATCTGCCCTGCACCCTAACCTGGCTCTGCAGATGCAAGCCCCTCCAACCCCTCTGAATACAGCACAACTTGCAGAAGGCCGCCTGGGCCCCCCTTGCTGCCAGGGCAGCCCTGCCCTAGGGGAATGGGGGTGGGGTGCACACTGCTCTCAAGAGCTGGGATTTCTCCCAGAGCAGGGACCCTGACATGGTTGCAGGGACCTGGTGACTTTACAGGAGACCCAGCTCGTGTTCCTATTGCGGGGAGGGTGCTACGTACTGGGCCAAGAGGGCAGCTGGCAGCCAAGGATACCTGGGTTCAGGGCCCAGGCTCTTCCCCTCTTCAGTTGGTTACAATCAGAGCCTTGGCAAGGCCAGGCCGCTGGATACCACAGTGCCTGGCCCCACAGCTGGGGGCAAGTCCCCTCTCTCATGAGAAGGGTGGGAAGAGGCTGGCTCCTGAAGCTGCTGGGAGCAGGGGGGAAGAGTGAGGTGCTTTGAGCTGCAGCAGAACGGCCCGAGAGCCCAGCACGAGCTGCCCTGTTCAGCACCCTGGCTTCAAACAGGCTCTGCCTGCAGCCGCAGCTGCCCCCTATCCCAGCAATGAGCTATTTAAGCTAGTGAGGGTCACGGTGGTGTCCCTCCATGTCAACGGGCCGTCAGATGGCTGCAACCAAGACCACCTCCCAGGGTGGGGCAGTTCTAACTGAGCTTGCGTGCCTAGAATTGGCCAGGGGCAGAAGGGGGGCACTGAACAGGGGCAGTGCTTTGATTGGAGGCAGGGGAGCACACAGCTTTCAGTCGGTCCCATTAGCACGTACCTCCCGTGCCCTCACTGTACACGTTGCCTTAGTCGTCCCTAGTACAAAAACTCCCAACATGGACAGAAACCTGCAGGATCTGGCAACCCTGGGTATGAGCAACCGTCAACAAAACGTCTTGTGGGCCACAGAACCTGGATGGGCCTTAGGGGGCTCAATGGTGCCCTAGCCCCTTCTGGCACTAGGGAGCTCTGAGCAGGAGACTACGCAAGGAGGCGGGAACAGCTGCAATCCAGCAACTCTGTGGCACAGGCACTAGGGGGCAACATTTTATCACTTTACTGAAGTGAAAACCTCAGCTGGGCTCTGCCCAAGCACCAGGAAGTTCACCAGGAGGGATCTAGCACAAGCAAGGGGAGCGCTTCGAAGCCTTTCCAGCAAGCAGCTTGCTGCAGCCGGGAAGAGGCTGGAGTTTGTGTAGGAGATGCAGGATGCCCCCACCCCCAACCTCTCTAGAGCCGCAGCCAGCTGGAAGAGGCGAGGCCGGGTTTGCCGGACAAAGCAACAAGCCAAGGGGCGGGGAGGACGGGGCCAGATGAATGCAATACGGAGCCCACGCACTGAGTCTGAGCAGGGAGAGGGGGTTGCACAGTAGGAATTATAGTAGCCTCCCCCGGAAAGGTGGGGGCAAAGGAACTACGAAGCAGACTGATCCTCACACGCCTCTCCAATGCTTTTACGGTCACAGTGCAGCTCGTCCGGCCTCACTGCTCGGTTCTACCACAGCACCAGGAGTGGGGGCTGCCCTCAGCGTTTGTGCTCCGCTCCCGCGCCCCAAGGAAGAGGCGGGTGGAAGGAAGTTCGGGACAGAAGCGGAGGCGTCTGCTCCGTGTTGCTAGCGCTCCATGTTGTGGGAGCCTGTTTGAGGCAGCCTGGGGCGGGGATGGGCACTTTGAGACCTTTCCCTCCAGGTTTGCATCTGAAGTCAGATGCCTCCTATGAAATGAGAATGGCCTTGTTCCCTGGGCACCCTGCCACGCTCCAGGCCTGGGTCAAGCTGGCACCGGTTCTGTGCCTTGCCGAGTGGCCCTGTGCTCAGGACAAGCCATTCAGCTTTTACACCCTGGGTACACTGGCATTGCCACGAGGGGCAGACTGCCACACCTAGCCCAGCCAGGGATCCAGACATGGCTACAGTTGTCTACAAGGAGTAGCAGGTAGAACAGCACGTGGGATTTAACACACCTGGGTTCCACTGATGATCTGACATTGGCCTGATGGAGGGCCTTGGCAAGTGCCTCAGTTTCCCCCATGCGGACTGGTGATAACACTGCCTTCAGCAGGGCTTTAAGATCTTTCCTGCTGTGGCACTAGCAGAACCAGTTCACAGTGAAGTGACACTGGTCAGTTTTGCTTTCAGCGAAGTACCTGACGCCCAGGGACACCACAACCTAACGTTTTCTTTAGCTGGATTTAATAAAACGTGAACATTCCAGGTCACATGAGGTTTATAAAAATTTTTTAATCACAACATAAGTTTGTGATGAAGACTAAGTTGACAGTTCCTCTTTAAATACCGATCTGTGAGCCGCGGCATGAGGCGCTAGGCAGCAGCCAACAAGTTAAGACTCCAGCAATCATCTCCCTCCCTCACCGCAGGTTCGTGGGGAACAGATGGTTTCCACAGGCAAGTTACTCAAAAGTCTCCCCCAGCCCCAACTCCGCACATCAGCAAAACCAGAGCCGTCTCCCCGCCAGGTTAACAACATTAGTGGCATCGCATACTGTCAAAAAGGACAATTGGTTTTTTTTATACAAGATTTTTTTGCAAAAAAACTGCAAGAGAATTATTAGTGCATTACACCAGAACTGAAGAGATAGAAAAGAGTTGGCATGCTCAAGTCCGACACCCAGATGAGGACAACAGAAGGCTACCTGGTATGTACTATACTGACAGGATACTGATTGGTTACATGAAGAAATGTACAATACAAAATACAGGAAAAAAGACCAGTTTGGCTCCCGGCTGCCCCCCCATCCCAAATACTCATCATTGTGATTTGGTCGAGACACCTGGCTCCGAAACCGGAGCTCAAGGTCACTATAATGCTATTGTTTAGTGGACTCCCCTTAGCTGGTTCACGTGGCGAACGCAAACGAGATACCACGGAATGGGCAAGTTACCCTTGTTTCCAAAAGTGAAGGAGAAGCTTGTGGTGCCCGGCCGGCTCTAGCCCTCGCCTAGCACGTATCCACCACCGGGAAGAGCAGAAGTTCATCTATTAAAAAAGGTGACGTTAAGACTTAAAATGGAATTAGTATTTGTACAGAAAGGTGCAAGTGGAACAGCTCCCTCCAGCCCCGGATCCGCAGGAACTGGAGAAATCACGGCAGCTGCAGGGGCCCAGCTGTTCTACCGTAAGTGCGATTGGTGCGCGTGGATTCCAGTCAGGTCATTGGAAGGGCTGCGGGCAGGTGGGGATGAAGGCTCAGTTGCTGCAGCACTGGCTTCTGCTGTGCTGGCTGTTGTCCTGCAGGTCCACGCCCCGATTCCTGCCCGGCACACCAGCAGCATTCTGGGTGTCGCTCTTCGGCAGCTTCTTGGCTGGAGGAAGAGGATGGGGGTCAGCTGCGGGGGCTGACAGCAGGGGGCTCAGCTTCCCCACAGAACTGAGCCGTGGTGCTGCTTAAGCTGGGTCTCTCTCTCCAGCTGGGTTTGGGATTGTCAAGTGGGTGCCAATTCCAGATGTGCCTAGGGCACCGGCAGCACTGAACAGTCATGGCCAGGCGGGCTCAGGTAAGAACGGCCAGACTGGGTCAGACCAAAGGTCCACCTAATTCGGTACCGTTTTCCAACAGTGGCCAATGCCAGATGCCCCAGAAGCAGCAAGCTGAACAGGGAATCAAGCGATCCTTCTCTGGTCATCCACTTCCAGCCTGACAAACAGGCCAGAGACACCATCCCTACCCATCTGGCTATGAGCCATCAATGGACTTAACCGCCATGAATTGCTCGTTCTTTTTTGAACCCTGGTCTTCACAACATCCTCTGGCAATAAGCTGACACTGTGCTACATGAAGAAATACCTCCCTGTTTGTTTTAACCTTGCTACCTATTCGTTTCATTTGGGGACTCTAGTTCTTATATTATGGTAAGAAGTCAATAACTTTTCCTTGTCCACATCGGTCATGATTGTGTAGACCTCGATCATTCCCCCCTTCATCTCCTCTTTTCTAAGCTGAAAAGTCAATCTCCCCTATACTGACCTGTTCCAAACCCCTAATCAGTTTTGTTGCCCTCTTCTGAACTTCCCAATGCCAAGGTCTCTTGTTTGAGATGCGGCGACCACATCTGCATGCAGTATTCCAGATGTGGGTGTACCAAGGATTTATACAGAGGCAATGAGATAGTCGGTCTTAGTCTCCAATTTTAATAATGCCCCAAGGTTGTTTGCTTTGATTGCCGCTGCAGATTGAGAACTACCCACAATAATTCCAAGGTCAAGTGGTTATAGTTAAAATAGTCCCAATCATTTTGGATGTATAGTTGGGATTCTCTTTGCATTTATCAGCATTAGTTTGCCATTTTGTTGGCCGATTTGGTTCTCTGGCTGCCCTGCGGCAAGTGGCAGCGTCGAGGGAGGCAAGAGCTGCTTCCAGGGCAGTGACTTGGCTTTGCTACTGGCAGGATTGCCGCTGTGCCAATGAGCAGCTGTGTAGGGGGCGCGTCTTGGCACAAGGCCAGTTTGTGATGGAGCACACAGACATCGCCAACTCCCCCCCTTCCGCCACTTACCTATCGCCATGAAGATTTCATTCACATTCATCGCTGTCTTCGCTGAGGTCTCCATGAACAGCAAGCTGTTGTCGTCTGCATACGTTTGGGCTTCCTGGAGGCAATCACATGGAGTGAGGCTGGCCCTATGCTCAAGCAAGTCCCAAAACTGCACCGCCCCACCACTGAGGGGTGCGCTGCAGGGCAGGTGAAGGACAGAGTTTCAGCTGCGGCCTCTATCACACTAGATTCTGCTGCTTCCCTTCCCATCCCCACTCTAGCACCGGAAGGGTTGAGCAGCCACAAGATACAGCCCGGCCTGGCCGGCGACCCACCTCCTCACCCAAGCCTCCCACCAGACAGACCTGCGCACGGTGCTGCTCACAAGGGTCGTGCGTGACACCTGCCAGGGCAGCTGCTGGCCAGGAGACACGCTCTAGAAGCCTGGCCCACAGCCAGCCAACCTGTGTCTCCGCACTGCAGCGTAGCAGAAAGCCTGCTGCTGACAGGAGGGAAAGCAGGGCAAATCCCGCATAACCCAGCGCACTCAGCCAGGTGGGAGCAGCAGCTGGCCGAAAGGCAGCACCACAGAGCATGGGCAACACACACCAGCCCTTACTCCCAGCCTAGAGGAGTAACTGTCTCCACCAGGCGCAGGCCCATCTCCAGGAGCGGGTATTGGAACAAGGGCTCCAACAGGAATGGATGGATGGATGCAGATAGGCTCCACTTCCCCTCAAGCAGGGTTGGGGGGTTATTGGGTTGTGGCTGCACAGAACCCAGCTTTCGAGGGCTTTAATGCACCTCTGGGTTAAGTTTCAGCCTGAAGTTAGCAGTCAAGGGACCCCCCCCCCCATTTTCCCAGCTCTAACTAGGGCAGTGTCCACGTCGACTTCTGCTCACCTGGAAGTCCACAGCTCTCTTGCTGGCAAGGTCTGCCTTGTTGCCTGATAACGCAATCACAATATTGGGGCTGGCCTGCCTCTGCAGCTCCTTCACCCAGTTCTTGGCGCGCACAAATGTGTCCTAGAAAGAGGCAGGAGGCTGTAGTCAGGAAGGGAACCGTCTCCCCCTGCCCACCAGCCGCCTCTGATCTTCCCCTTCCATGTGCTAATTTTTTACCACCCATGTGCAGAATACATTGTGCAACAAGGCATGTGCAGATGTGCCCCACCTGTAGTAACATGCTGCCAGCTGTGAGCACTCTTAATGAGCTGGGCAGCATTTGAATTTCTCCTGAGTGGCCGCACAAGCGCCCAGCTTACAGGGAACATGAGGCAGGAGAGGCTGACGCTAAGCAGCCAGGATGGTCTCCAAGCTCTGTGGTCAAGGCTCAGTGGCTGCACTAGAGAGCTCAGTCCAGAACCAAGGGGCAGACGGGGAGAGTCAAAGCAGGGGTTAGACCCAAGATCTGCTAGTCCTGGTCCCGAGCGGACCCCCTCTCTGCAGCAGCCCAAGGAACACAGTCCCCAGCAACTTCCCTCTGGAGCAAGGAACACGGTCCCCAGCCACTTCCCTCTGGAGAAGCCTCAACCCTTCCGCAAGCCGGCCCGGGGCGCCGCACTCACCGTGTTGGTGATGTCATAGACGACAATGGCTGCCTGCGCGCCCCTGTAATACATGGGGGCCAAGCTGTGGTATCGCTCTTGTCCTGCAGTGTCCCAGATTTCAAACTTCACCGTCGTGTCGTCCAGACAGACCGTCTGCGTTAGGAAGGCAGCTGGGAGAGAAGCAACGGGCGCAAGCCGGCCCGGGGCGCCGCACTCACCGTGTTGGTGATGTCATAGACGACAATGGCTGCCTGCGCGCCCCTGTAATACATGGGGGCCAAGCTGTGGTATCGCTCTTGTCCTGCAGTGTCCCAGATTTCAAACTTCACCGTCGTGTCGTCCAGACAGACCGTCTGCGTTAGGAAGGCAGCTGGGAGAGAAGCAACGGGTCAGTGCCAAGGGAGCTGGAGTGCCCTGGGTAGGCCAGGTGGCCTTTGAGAAGCTGGCTCTCTGCACGAGCTATGCCCAGTTAGACCATCCCTCCAAGGCACGCCAGAGACCCATCTGACAACTCCCTCTGCCACGTAGCACCCCACTGAATCGTGGGACACGGCGGCACGTCCCGGGAGGATTTTGCCATCTCACTGTTACAGGAACATGCCGTAGTTGAGGCAGTGCTCACCAACCTGCTTCTCGGACACAGGCAAAGGGCTACCGAGCCATGACCTGCCCCACGCCAGCAGGGGGCGCTGTCATTTACAATTCCTCTGAAGGCCAGTTTGGTGCCCACGTATGCAGCACAGCTGTCTATGCTCATGGCCCCACAAGGACTGTCTAATGAAGGGGATAGAATGGGGGGGCCTTAACCTCTTGACAGAGCGGGGACCAGAGGGCACAGGCCCATCACTTTGTACATGCCTTAAGGGCAAGGGAGGGGGGGCAGAGGCGTGAGCAGAGGAAGGGTCTCAGAGGGAGAACAGGGGTGGAGCCCTGGTTTGATGCCTGTGGGGTACCCCCTTCCCAGGCACTTCCAGCGCTCCTGCCTCTCCCCTACACTAAGGTCCCTTGGGTCTTTCAAGCACTGGGCTGAGGGTGTGGACTGGCTGGGACACCTGCCAGCCCCCGAGTGCCAAAAGCTATTGGCAAGAAATTTAGATCTCTCATCTTGTTAAAGTTGAGGCATTAGCTTGGGGTGCTCCCCTTTTGTAACCAATTCTGCCTTATGCTGGACCACTCCCAATCCCTGGGAACTGCTCTAGTTCAGCAACTAAACCCAATGTTTGGGAAGTGCCTGGCTTGGGATCGTCCCTGCTGCTGGAGTGACTCTACAAGCTCATCCGACGCAGGAGGGAGCCAGGGTGCTCATAGCTAGCCGAGACAGCATTTGTCCTCAGCTGGGTGCGATTTTGCATGCTGAAGACAGCAAGCCGGCTTGGGGTGGCTGCTCTGTACAAGGCACATGGGGCTAGAGAGTGGTTGGGTTGCAGCCTGGGGAATGGCACAGCTCTGACCTGGGGGAAGGCCCAGTTAGAGCTACATTACTCCAGGAGTCAGGGACACTGCAAGAGGCTGCACAGGGTAGAGCGAGCGTCTTTAGGAACCACAGCTCCCTGAGCTAGACAGAGGAACCAAACCACAGTCACAGCATCTGGAGAGCCGCTCCTCGCTGCATGGGTCTGCCCCACTGTGCAGCCGAGCACAGCATGGGAGGACCCCATCTGCAGACAGCTGGGCAGCCATGCCATCTTAGTGACTTTTCAGAGGGCGGCGAAAGAGCCAGGGTAATCTCAGCATGAACCCTCCAGTGCTCGTGTAGGCAAAGCGGGGGTGTTAGAGCGTTGCATTTGGGGAACACTGTGCCCCTAGTGCCCTGAGATCTGAGCGCTTCCTTGCAAACAAGCCTCAAATCCCATCCAAGACAAGTGACGTGTGGCACGTGTACCAGGCCCACCGAGGCTAGCGCAGCAGCGCCGGGCGTGGAACCCAGCAGATCTGGCTCCGTAGTGCCGGACCATGAGGCAGGAGACCATGCCTCATTTTTGTACCCTTGCTTTGAATCCTGTTTCCAACCATGGTGCTGCCACAAGGGAGGCAGCTACAGCCTCAGACAGTAACCAGGACAACCGGCAAGTGCTACAAGCAGCGCTGGGGCCATTAGTCACAAGCGACACTGTCCAAGGTCCCAGCTGGGGGATACTCATTCCCACACAGCTGCCAGGAAGGCAAGTCGCTCCAGTCCACGTAGCTCCTGGCCCAGTGTCTCTAGGCCACGTGCGCCCCCATAGGACATGACTGTGGAATCTGCTCGGTGTAACGAGTTGTCAGAGGACAGAACCACCCGTCACCAATCCAACCATCGGCCCACCAGGGTGACCGGCCAAGGTGCTTGTGGTCATCCCTGAAGTGGCACTGAGAAGCACGTGGCAATTGCGTAGCCACCTCCTCATTTGGGGCCCCCCTATTGACTCATTGTGGCTGCAGCTTCTGACTTTCAGATCCTTGAGAAGTGCCTGCTTATGGCTGCCTAGCAGCTCTTCTCCTGGCTGGGCACAATGCTAGGAAACGGCTGGGCGCACTGCACATGAGAGGTCTGTCAGGGGGTCAAATCCAGACCGAGTCATTAGACAGCAGGGATTGTCCGACAGCTGATTGTCCGACTGTCCACACTGACCAGTTCCTTCCTCATTCCCAGAGGCCACATGTGCACATCCCAGCAATGCCTGTGGCCCGGTGCCAAGGGGTCGTGGGCTGGGGGAGGTGGGGACACCCCCCCCCGCGCAGGTGGGGGTCAGTTGCAGGCTAGTTGAGGCCTGCCGGCAGGGTGATGACAAGGAGCTAAGTCCTATGCAGGCCAGCGCAGGGTGTTGGGCAGCTAGGGAGGCTCCCATCCCCAGGCTGCCAACCCAGCCGAATTCACTAGAGCCATGCTGTAATCCCAAGGCACGTGGGCTGGGGATGCAGGTGTGGGCACCTGGAAGTGGATTTCTGGGCAGAGCAGCCCAGTCAAACTCCGTGTGGCTTCACCGCAGCAGTCAAGACCCTGAGATTTCACGAGCAAGCCCACCTCCCCTGGTCTGCATGACTAGCCCCCGCATGGCCCATCCAGATCTGACTGCAGCAAGGCACAGGCTGTCGCTCTTCCTGTTTTCTGTGAGAACTTGGGGGGAAAGCCCCCCCGCCCCCAAACTGAAAGTGAAAGGCGGCTCTGCACTTCCCATGGCAGGGCCCATCTCTCCATAGCTGCGTCATTCCCCTCACTGCAGATCTCCAGGCAAGGCCCAGAGCTGCTGTGCACCCTACTGCATTGTGGGGGTGGGGGACCTGGTATTTCTATGGCCCCTGCACACTGGGGCTGTAAAGGAGCCAGGCCCTAACACCAGTTAATGGTTTAGGCCCTGTAGCCAGAAGAGTCTTAGACCAACACTAAAACACTGTAAAGGAGATTATAGAAGCACAGAACTTACTATTTCACCCTGCCTCATGATCAGACAAGGTTTGTAACGCTAACAAGCAGCAAGACCTTCTGGCAAGTTAAGTTGGGCCTCTTGTCTCCATTACAAGCTTGGGAGAGATTGTGTCAATGCTTCAGTAACTGTATAATCAGTCCCTTCTAAAATGTAATCCTGTCTGAAACCACGTTGCTGAACAAGAAAGTCTGTCCACGGATGTGGGGCAAGTGGGGGATTGTGTGCATGGCTAAGGGCAAGTGTGAAAGCCATTACAATGCACAGATGGGCCAGACGAAGCGAGAACCTCGAAGACAGGCAGGAAGCAGCCACTGTGCTCAGTGCTAGAATTAATAGAATGACAAGCCTTGGAGATAGGCAGAGAGACTCGCCCGCCCCCCACGAAACAAGAGGTAATGGGAAGCTTGACAACAGCCAAAGGACACAAAGGCTGTAGGGATAACACATTAATGTATTGAAAATGATTCCCCCAAATGGAAGTGACTCCCCATAATTTGTTCCCCACAACTTATAGTGTGTAGATTTATTATTATTAGTGCCTCTTTAGAATATAACGTATTAGGTCATGTAACTTAGAACTGTTAAGAATATAATCCTATGTAGCCAGAAACAGCCCCCCCCTCTGTGCTCCAGGGCATGCTCAAGCTTGTGCAGGGGGGGGGGGGGCTGCTTGAAATTGACATTGCAGAGACACATTGTAACAATGCATTGTCAAGCCACTAACTCTGCTACAGGAGCCAAGCCCTGTAATTGACTAAGGGCATTGTTACATAATTGATACCTGTTCTTTTTAAAACATTGTAACTTTACTCAGCACTCAGAGAATGTTTTAAGCAATACCACCCAGAAACTTTTGTAACTACAACTTTTTTTATTATACAAAATACTGTATGGGAAACATTAATTAGGGAATGTACGTAAGAGAGAGTGCTTGGACGATGAATGAATGGTTCTGAGAGGTGCCAGCCTGAGAATACAGCAACAAAGGGCTGAAGAAGGCATCGGGTGCCAGTGCAACCAAAAGGTATCAAGTGGAGAAAACCAAGTTCTGGAGGTCCACCCGATGAGATCACTGACGAGCACCTGACAGCCACCCTGGAGACATCAGCATGATGCAGCAATTCCCATAGACTGGCATAGGAAGAAATTCCTATAAGAACTGGACTAAAAGACTATGGAGTCAGAGTCCAAGGTTCTGCTGCCAGCCTACCAGGAGCTTCAGATGCGCATCTGATCAGGACTTCGCTCCCCACTACCATCACTTGTGTACAGAATACCTGGCCAGTATTCTGTCACAAGCAACTTCCAGGCTGGTAACTATAACAAATACACAGAACCTGAATGAATGGATGAATGAATGTTTATATGTATATGGGTTAAGTAGTTAAACAACATTGTTTGCTTCTATCTTTTAATGTAAAAATAATAAAAAAAATAAAGAAATGTGGCTTTTTGCCTTATCCCCCTCATAAGATCCTGCTTGCTTTATTTGGTACAACAAGGCAACACAGAAACCTGTGGGAGCGACTTTAACCTGCCTGGGGAACTCATTAATGGATCTTCAAGTCAGTGGCGTTTCAGGCCAATTCCACAGGGAAGCATTGGAACTGAACTTCATTCACAAGTTTCATTCTCATGCAGATGGTTTAAATCAAGATATTGGATGGCCTGGACATTACCTACCAACCAACCAAGGTACCAATGGTTCTTGAGATCTGTATAGAATCGGTTTGCACTTGGAGAGGAAGAGAACTAACTTATGGTTCTTATCTACATGTTGTTAGTCTATAAAGTGCTACCAGACCATTTGGGGTTTACGTTTTTCCTGTTACAGACTCAGCTACCCCTCTAAAGCTAGATGGAAGTGTCCCCCACAGCGGGAGGGGCATTACTCCAATGCCAGCAGCCTATGAGGGGAGCTGAGGAGCAGGATTTTATGAACTGCATTCACCTGCTTCAGAAGGCAGCAGGCCAAGCAGACCTACCCCCCACCTCTCAGACAGGGAGCCAAGCCATCCTTGGCACAGAGAGCTCCTTTTACCCAAGGATTTCAGTGCTTTAATGCTCACTTAAGGCAGATCCTGAGCAAACAAGCCTGGTCTGCAATAGTGGCACAACTAGGGAGTTCCGGGTTCTAGCTGTAGCCTCCTGCATTCCCACCAGCCTGCTCCTGTGAAACCAACTCTCCAGCCAAGCCTCCGCTGCTTCCCCAGCACTGGCTCAAGCACTCACCTCCAATGGTGCTTTCCTGGTACTCATGGAACTGGCCCTTCACGAAGCGCAGGACAAGACTGGATTTCCCCACAGCCGACTCCCCCAAGAGGACAAGTTTAAACTGGCAAATTTTGTTTCCAGCAGCCGGTCCGTTCGGTCGAGCAGCTCCTCCCCGACCCGCCATGGTCCGTTCCAGTGCGGCGGCAGCGCCCAGAGCACAGGCTTCAGGGGCAAGGGGATTGCACCGCACTTGGGTTACCAACTGGAGGAGGAAAACAGATTGCGTTATTGGACCATGATACTGCTGCTAGTCAGGTATTCCAGAAGTGAGCTCGTTTCCTGCCCCAGCAGGAAGGAATCCCCTCCCACCCAATCAGAAGCCTCCAAACCAAACAGCATGGATTAGAGGTACCCAATCCTTCCTCCAAGGAGGGCCTTGTTAGCCTTCAAGACTTGCCCTTGCCAGTGCTCTCATTGGACTATGTCTGAAAGGAACCTCAGTCTCCCAGCCTGCCACAAGGGACACTAGCCATGCTCCCTTTCCCCACGGTGCAGCCAGCCAGCGCTAGTGAAGAGCTGAAAAGGCCACACAATGCTTTGCCTCTTGCTAACACAGGTAGGGGAGAACCCCAGAGTAGGTCCTACCAAGTGTTCTTTGGATCCCCGTCTGCTGAAAGCTGGATAACCAACCAACTAGTTTTACAGGCCACAGAACAGCCCAATGGCATGTACCCGCTTGCCCTTGTGAAACCATTCTGTGACACTAGGGGATTTCGACAAGTCATGATCGTTACACAAGCAGTGAGCTTAACCCACCTGCGGGGCCTTAGCTTGCATAGGGCAACAATGAGCCAACTCTGTATCGAGCCACTTCTGTAAAGCGAGAACACAGGCCAAGCACCTGAATGCTTAGAACAAACGAGCTTAGCCGAAGGCCGACTGTTCAGCCACCAGGGGCTCCTGAGACACTTGCTGCTCCACAGAGCAAGAGGCAGGGAGTTCTAAGATGGGGTGTCAAAGGGCAGAGCAGCTTATAAAATGGTCTGTACGATGACTGAGTCAGTGCACGAGAACCACACCACTAAGGAAGTCGGCCGTGTATTCTGTCTGCATGGGAAGAGACAGTCGCACTGAAGAACAGGGCACCCCAGTGGTCTATAGCCCAGTACCTTCCGTCTTCCAACACTGGCCAGAGGGGGAAGCTTGCGGAAATGAGAAGACTGGACAGTCTATCATGTGATTGATCCCATCTTCCCTCCCCAGCTCCTGGCAGAGCATGGGGTTGCTTCCCAACCACCTCGGCTAAAGTTATTGAGGGACCCATCTTCCCTTCACAACCTATGGGTCACGACCCAAATATGGGTCACCATTACTCTTCAAAAAGGTCGCCAAGTGTCTCCCCAGGTGGCTCTGTCCTCCCTCCCCCTGTTTTTGAATTGCCTTGGGTCACCAAGTCTCAATTGTCAGAGTGGGTCCCCATCTGGAAAAGGTTGGGAACCGCTGCCTTAACTTCTTGGAGCCCATTCACACTTTTGGCTTTCACAAGATCCCCTGGCAACAAGTGCCCCAGATGGACTGTGCTGTGTGGGCAGCGCTGTGTGTTGGTTCTCAACTGGCTGCCTATCCGCTTCATTGGCTGGCCCTGGTTTGTTTCATCTGAAGGGGGCAGTCACTTCTGGGATATCGTTCAGGCTTCTAGAGGCCTCATATTCTCCACTTCCCCCACCAAGCTCCAGTCGTCTTTGCTAAGCCAATCAGTCTTCAGATTTTTAATTTCTCCTCATACCAAAGCTGTTCCCTACTCATTCATTTTGATTGCCCTTCTCTGCACCTTTTCCAACTCACATCACCTGTTAGGAGATGGCATAATCAGAACAGCAAGCAGCATTCAAGGTGCAGGCAGTACCAGGGGTGTATAAATGGTATAGGATCGTTTTCTGTCTTTATCCCTTTCCTAATGGCCTCTAACATTGTGCAGTGGCAACGCTAACAGGGAGCAGGTATTTTCACAGAACCATTCACGGCTCCAAGATCTGACTGTAAAAGCCAACTGAGTGCCCATTGTTCTGTATGTATAGTTAGGATTAGGTTTTCCAGATGCATTTAACACTGAATTCCATCTGGCACTGTGTAACCCAATCCCCGATTTGTGAGATCCCTTTGTAACTCTTTGCAGCCAGCTTTGGGATTCAGCCATCTTGAGTATTTTATATCTACAGATTTTGCCACCTCATTGTAGCAGATGATGCACCAGAGGCTGTGAAGTGACCAGTCTCCTACACAGTAGCAATGGCTAGAAGTCAACTGAAGCTGTAACAGCTAGTATAGAGGGGGGAGGAAGCCATGACAAATTGGCCAGTTTACCTATTCGGCAGTGCCTGGGAAACAAGACTTCGCCATATAAAATTAGTGTGAGCACTTCAGGAATGGAGGCTGTTCGTTATTCAGAAGAGAAACCATTATGACTCAAAGTTCTCAGCTGAATGGTGACTTAATACAGCTTTGAAACTATTATGCAGAAGAAAAACTGCTGCTTGTAACCATCTTAATTGACATGAGATAAGCAGAAAGTTTACCTCGTCAAGCCTTTATTCTAGTCGTTTGTTCAACAGTAACGTAACTAGCTTTTTGGGGGCATTGCTGTTGCCTGATTGCATGCTTCCAGTTCCAGCTCGTTTGTTCGACAGTAACGTAACTAGCTTTTTGGGGGTGTTGCTGTTGCCTGATTGCATGCTTCCAGTTCCAGATAAGGTGTGGGGGCAACCGGTCAGTTTGTAACTCTGGGGTTACACTGTAGGACGTCTTTCAATTAGTGTCCAGTCATTTGAGTCTCCACAGCAAGGCTGTCCATCACACATTCGTGTCCAGTCAGTCATTTGAGTCTCCACAGCAAGGCTGTCCATCACACATTCCAACTCCTATTCCCCTCCTCCCCTTCTTATTCAGGCTTATCTTAATGCACTGGTATATTCGTACTCATTTATCCTGGTTCCGTTCCTCTTACGTAGAAGTGCCTGCTAACCCAATGCTTTGATTTGCTGGGATTACACCCAAGGCAGGAAGAAGGAGACAGGCAGGTTGCTGTATCACAAAACAGACAAAGCCTACACAAGCCTCACAGCTGTGCCTCCTCCAGCCACCGAATGCTATTCACTGCGGGGGAAGGATAATCACCTTGCTTTGCAGTTGCTAAAGGGAAAAGGAGAAAGGGAGCCACGGTTTAATACACATTTATCACTTTGGCCCCAGTGAAGAAAGTTAGCATAGATCTAAAATGCTATTTTCTGATCAGCACTGGAGACGCACAAGAGAAGGTGTGTCCTGTTTGACAGGGCAGCCTAGGAGAAGCCCCGAAGAGCCAGGGTTGTAGTCTCAAGCATGCCCAGACTCTTTGGGGGTTTCCTGAATAGAAATTCTAGCCTGTGCCTTCTGAATCAGGCGGCTTCAGAGACCGCGGGTCACAACTCAGCAAACACAGCTCTCAGTGTCTAAGACCTACTTCAAGTCATTTCTCAGTCCACATCGACACTGGAGTGAGTCAGTACCATCTGCTCCGGATTGGCAGTTTGGTCCACATCACTGTACGTGCTGTAGGGAGCAGTCCTACCTGGGCTGCCAGACATGGCTGAGGGGCAGACAGCTTGCTTTGGAAGCTCTCTATTCAGGAAGGCACCTGAGTTAGAGAACAGAACCTTGAGCTTTGACCCTAGAGATTGTAGGGGCTGGCAAGGGGGTTTGGAGCAGACTTCAGAACTTCAAGTAGGACTAATCTTGCTTCCAAATTGAGCTAGCCAGGAGACAGCTTCCTGAAGGATAAATTTTTAGATTATAAATTCTTCAGCCAGAGCAGCCTCTGAGAGGCTATGCAGCCAAACACAATGGAACCCGGATTTTAGTGGGGGAGGAGAGAGAATCTTGGGGTGTGTCTACACTGCACCCTTAATCAAAATAAGATGCAGAATTTGCATAGCGTAAATTGCTCATTGAGAGAGTTCAAAATCGGCTTTCTACATAGTGCCAAATCTCAAAAAAACACACTATCCCTTGTGCAATGAGGTTTCAAAGATGCCAAAATAGTGAGTCCGCTATATTTCACCTCTGGTATCCCGAAATAGCATTGCAGTATCACACCACAGGCAATGTTGGAGCTACCTGTAAAGTGTCACTAGCACAAGTAAAGAACCCCTTACCAGTCATTACTGGCTTGTGAAGGCAGCTCTGACTGCCACTCTGCCTCCGGCTCCACACAGAGCATTCGAGAACAGGCATGCACAGAAACAGATACCTCTGGTCATAAATGCATGCAGACAGAATAGACACCTGTCATTTCTTACATGTATGTCAGGGCAACGACAGTTTGGGGGGTAGGAACTGAGCACTCTAGGGAGTCATGCTCATATGCAAAAGCAACAGCATAGTCCAAGCATCTTTTCAACAAGTTTCAGGTTACCAGCAAAGCCATCCTTCTAGAAACAGTCTGACTAGAACGATCCTCACAACACCACTCAAGTGTCTCATGCTGCTACTGATGACCGAGTCATTACAGGCAAACAATTGGATGCACGTTTCACTCCACCCAGGGATGGTATTTGACTGTGCTTTGTAACCAACTGTAACAAGCGACTAGAAAGCAAGGAAGATATTCCTGTGGCAGTTCTCTATACATGCAGAAAGCCACGATAAACAGGTCATTACGTCCTTCCAGAGGGCTGTCTTTCAACCAAAGTCCGTCTGCACAAGACTGCTAGGAAAGGTTTCTATGGATTTGCTTTTGCAAATGGTTTCATTATCCCGTTTGTCAGTTAAATGCCATAATGTTCTGCTATAAAGAGGATCATCTTACCCAATGAGGTTAAGCATCAGGCAGGGCGGGAGGGGAGTCCTGCTTCTGATACAATAGCAAGGACAGAGAATCCATCTAAAATGTGAGGACCTGTTCATGCCCACAGCTGGATAATGCAGTGAATTCAGGGCATCAAAGCACTACCCTTTGGTCTTGCTTGCTCGACAGTCCTACCAGAAGCTATGCCTGGGTACCATGGGCGTGTACCTGCCAGCCCATAGTGTCCTTCTCAATACACATGGGGGAAGGCCATTTCCCAGCATTCCTCAACCCCTTTCTGGAAAGGCTCTGTCGTAAAATAGTAAGGATCAGCCCCCATATGTCCTCAGAACGCCAGCACAGGTGAGCTGGGGTGGCCCTGGAGACATGGAAGTAACTCCACCTGAAGTTCTGCAGGACTGACCAGATGGATGTTTATT